TGGCAGGATGAATGCAGTAGCCATAAAAGCAGGAGCCTTTTCTGGCTTTTTACCATTGCATCCCAGGCCCTTGGATGAAAAGTAGGTACAATGTAGGTGTTAAATGTTTGATGAATGAATAAATGACAACAAGAACTTCAATAGTTCTAGCACCATACCAGGCACCATCAAGCTGTAACAGAAAGCTTATTTAGACATCACCATAATCCTACGAGGTTTGTACTATTATCTCTACTCTAGGGGATGTTTCATCATCCACGTTTTCTATTTGAGAATACTGAGGCACAGAGGGGATTAGGTAACACGTCCCAGATCACACAGGCGGTGGAGCGTATAACACGAATCCTACCCTGTATGGAACTTTCTCTGTAACTTAAGCTGACCTAAGGTACTCATGTTATCTGAGGCTTTGAGATGAGCAGCACCCACTCTGACACTGCACCCTGCCCTTACCCCTGCTGTGCAGGAAAAGGGGCTCTGCATAGACACCCACCATCTCCAACGAAGCAAGGCTGCACACGATTGTGATAGTGAATGCAACCAACCCAGGTGCAGTGTAGACACGAGGGTCCCACGGAGATGGTGCGACAGCCCACGATGATATGAATTCAGCATGTGATGGGGAACAGGCAGCCAGGCGGAAGGCCAGGCTTTTGTGGAACCAGGAAGAGTACCATGTGGAAGGCCAGCTGGAGCAGGAGACACTGAGCTCTGGCCATTCCAGAGCGCAGGGAGAGGGGCTGGAAAGGCCCCCAGAGTGCGAATGAATGCGAGGCAGAGTTGCGACCGCTGTGTGCACTGTGAGCGAGGCAGGCCCAGGCAAGGGAGTCAGCCCCCACTGAGTGTAGGGCCGCAGCAAAGGACACGGAGTCTGACCCCAGAGGGCCCACATTTCCTGGAGCCGGCCAGCACACGGCCAAGGGCCAACACCCTGGCGCCCGATGGCTAGCTCACTGTGATGAGCTTTATCAGATGGGCTGGGGAGGGGTTTTATCAGCTTGGGCTGGGGAGGGGCTAAGCGCCAAGGTCATTCCCAATTTCTCTCCACTGTTCCTGCAGCCATATAGCTTCTGGGACTATTGACTGTTCCCAGTGCCTAACACTCCATCCGCCCCTCTCCTGGCCCATAGCTCCTTGAACCCACTTCTTTTCCCAGCTCCTTCACAGGAGCCATTACCCCAAATTAAATTTTAGGTCTCTGGTCTCTCATTTCTCTCTCTCTCTTTATATTCTCTAAATCAAGTTCAACCATCCAGTCTTCGTGTCCAAACTTAACCTAACTCAATCCCGACAGTGCTGGTGTCCACACCTGCCCACTGTGGATGTGAAATGAGCCTCATCTGAATAACGTGTGAACATGCACACAAGTCAGATTCGTTACTAATTTCATATTGATTCTGATAGCATGAAACTGACATTTACATTGAAATGAAGCAACTACAGATACATACTGGGTCACATAAATCACTCAAATTTATTTTAACCTGTTCCTTTGTAGTCTTTTAGTGTGACCTCCAGAACACTGCAAGTCACAGGTGTGGCTCGTCCTAGTGGATGCCTCTACTCCATATTCTAGCTTCCTGAGGCTGCCCCCTTGCACGCAGCATGTGTGAAACTGGATAAACTTTTGCTATGCTGTTAAAGTTTGGGATCAAGGTTCAGAGAATTCATTTTTGCATAAGTTGAACCATTTTAACATTTTTTTCCTGTGATTTTGACATATCTGCTGTCTTGTTCTGGCTAATGCCTCCAGATGTTTTCTTTCGGCTGGGACTGATGAACTGTTTTTCCAGGAATGGAGGACTTTTGCTTTCCACAATGGACAATACCTGGAGGGATTCGTTTTCTTTCAGACTGGAACCCTGGAAAGTTTTCATCTGAGACTGTATCCCAGCATCCATGTTTGATCTTCATCACCATGGAAATGGTGGCAAAAAGTGAAAGGGGGGAATTGTTAGGGGAAGTGATGTCCTGAGTTAATCCCATACAGGCTTTGTGGACTCCACCCCCACTCCAGACTAAAGCCATCAAGACATTGGGAAAGACAAATCCCCAAAGGGAGGGTGGCTGGGACCTGAGGGTGGAGTTGGGCAGCCAGGTTGGATATAAAAACCAAACACGTGGGCCTTGGGGTCTCTCTCTCTGGCTCGCGATCGCTCGCCTCCTGGCTTCACCACTCCTGGCTGGCGGCCAACTCTGAGAGCGCCATTTGGGATTCCTGATCGGCGGATCGGGTAGGACTCATTTAAAACTTTGTCTCCCACTTTTCTCCCAGAGCTGTCCATTTCCTCCTTTCCCCTTCCCTTGTAAATAAACCTTTTATGAACCTTTCACGTGTGCCTGCAGTAGAGCATTGATAAGTCCTTTTAAGCGCGCGGGTGAGGACCCACAGTCAGGCACCCCGTTTTGTATCGGGGTTGCTCTACAACAGATCCACCACGAACAAGCTCCTTGACATCTCCATGGCTCTGTTTCTTCATCTATAACATGAAGACACTAATTCTAACAAGGAGGATAACTCACCGGTAGAGAGAACCCACACCACGGATGACGCCACACACTGTTCTAAGTGTGTTTTGCAGATTAGCTGCTGTGAGGCTATTGCTGCCATTTTATAGACAGTCAACCGAGGGACAGAGAAGTTATCTCACTGACAAAGGTTACCCGCGAAGCCCTGGCAGTCAGCTCCACAGTGCCAGTGTCCCCCCAGAATGCCCAATTAGAGATGCTGCAAACATTCCAAGTCATTTAGGAAAAACACCGTGAACTGTACCTGGCACAGAATACGCTGTTCCTTGATGATGAGGTTTAATTGTCCTCTCTATCAACCCAGCCCCCACCTACCTCTGTACTTCCCTCTATGGCAGAACCTTTCTCTGTTTCCCAGGATTAAATCCTCAGGATCAACTCCTAACTTCCCTCACTTTTCCGTCCTAAGCTGAGTCAGGTCCTTCTTTCTCTCCCTGCAGTGCTTTTGACATGTCCACTCTGCAATTCCTACTCCCATCTTAACCTGGCCTGTCATACCCTCACACTGGATTAATAGCGTGGATCAACAGCCATGAGTCCACAGGATAGATCAATATCGTAACAAAAACCCCTAAAGCAGTACTCAGCCTTGGCATCCTTTAAACCTATGGACTCCTGTCAACCCCAACACTCCCCTGTCTGTCCTCCAGGGCTCCCTCCTCTGGGCTCTGACAGCATCTTGTTCTTCCAGCAGACCCAGCTAGGCTCCCCAGAACACCACTTTCATCTCTGCTGGAACTTGAAAGGTGCCTATCAGCTGATTTAAATATGCGAGTGCTAAAGAAGAAGGATCTTTGTCTCTGACAAGGCACAGAAAATTAAAAATTCTAGAGTTCTCCAAATCTCCCACAGAATCAAGATTAACTGAGCAGTCAAACTTTGACAACTGCATAATCCAGTCCCTCTGACCGAATTCAAGCGTATCTGCACTTCTCAACAAAAACTCTCCAGAGTAGCAAACAGTGTCTTCATTGTTCCTGGAGAGAAAAATCATGACATTAATTCTTATCCCCAGCCCTTATTCCTACAGTTCCCCTCTGTTTCAGAAATCTTAGCACACTTCTCCACTTCTCCTTCATAAACCCTCCTCCAAAACACCCTGGCTAAACTAATCCCTCTAAATTACGATAAAACTTGCGTTTCACACCATCCCCTGCGCTCAGTGCTGATATATTCCATCCTCCCGGCACATGCCACTTACAACCCAACCAGGCCTTGAGCAAGGAAGGTAGACAGTGGCAGTTTTCATGCATTCCATCGGCACTGCTGGTTTCTACAAAGAATGTGCTCTTCACTGACACGTAGAATAGTCAATGAGTTGTGGATGGTGCAACCAATTTTGCAAGTACCCTCGCTTAGCCAACCTTCCCTAACCAACAAATTCCTCAAGGTAACAGGCTTGAAGTGGGGACATGCTACTTTTCAAATTCATTCCAGTCAGCTTGAAGTCAAGTCAAGATCACACTGCCAGAAAAGGCAGACCTGGAACCAGCCACCAGGTCAGCCGCCCAGCCCAGTGCTCTTCCCCGAGTTTACTTCACCTTTCCTCTCCTTTCCCTCCTTAGCACCTAAGAAGAGTTAAGCAACTAAAAGGAGAAAGGAACCAGCTGAGAATTCTTGGTAACGCCAGACTGGCTAAATGAATGACTTCTAATCAACATTTGCCTGAAATAGCTTCCTCCTCTTCTTTTTTTTTCCCCCCCTTCTTTTTTTGGTGACTCACCAAGGGTAATGATTTGCTAGGCTGCATGGAAACCTCCTACTCTTGTTCTGTGAAATACAAATTTTCATCTGAACCTAAAACCAGTTTCTCTCCTGACTCCAAAGTGGGACACCACCTCCCCCAACTCGCCACTGCAATTACAAAATCTTCGCTGGCGGCTGTTTCTTATAAAAAAAAAAAAAAATTAAGGAAGGAAGCCTTGAGGGCACAGCCCTCGACCCTCAGAGCCAACTGACAGTGGTGGCTAAACTTCACCCGCCCTCAGCCTCCCCACACCTGAGCGCCCCGGAGCCCGGGCTCAGGCGCCGCGGTGCAGACACTGCAGTTCCACACCGAGTCACAAAGAACCTCAGTCCCGGCAGCCTGGACTCATGAATGGCCACATTGTTGGGTCCCCTCCCTCCAACGCTGAAGCTCGGCGAGGGAAAGAAACGGACGTGGACCCGAACCTGGGCGAACTGCACGGGCAGAGCCGAGAAAACCCAGAGGCCGCGCCGCCTCCTCAGACCTCCGGGCCCCTCCGGGGGCTCGGGCCGCTCCCAGGCGGGGATGCTGGCCCCGCAGACGCCCCGCGGCGGCGCCCCGCTCTCCGGGAGCCGGGACCCGGCAGGGGCGCGCGCCCCGCCGCCCCCGCGCCCTGCAGCACCCCGCCCCGCCCGGGCGCGCGGCCTCGGGTGCCGCCCGCGAGGATGCAGAGGCGCGGGCGGGAGGCGGCGGCCCCGCGGCGCCCTCCCCCGCGCCGACTCACCCAGTTCTGCGCGTTGTTGCTCAGCTTGACTTTCTTGCACAGGCTGCCGGGGCCCTCCATGCCGCAGAGCGCGCGCGGGCGTGGTGCTGGGCGCCGCGGCGAGCCGGAGAGCCGCGGGGGCGGGGCGGGGGCGGGGCCTCTCGCGCCGTGGCCGACGCGCGCTGACGTTCCGACGGCGCGCCGCGTCGGCCACGCCCCCGAGAAGGGTTCCGGGGCTGCGGGACCGAGCGACGCGAGCGCGCACGACGCTCCGCCCCCTTGCCGCTAAGGCCGGGGCGGGGCCCGCAGGCCGGCTGGCACCTGCGCTGGTCTTCGGCCCGCTCGCTGCCCGGCGCTGCGCATGCGCGCGGCCTGTCGCGGCTTCTGAGGCGCCGGCGCCCGGGAGGAGCTTGAGGGGAGCGCCTGGCACCGGGCCGGGCGTCGACGCCGACGGAGCCGCCGCCTTTCTGGCTCCTCCGCCACAAGTCCGGCCTCCATCCTCCCAGCCGGTGCCCACGTCCGCCTGGCCACAACATAGAAAGGATACTCCAGCCTCGCCCAGGGGAGGAGACACGCACCGCACAGCGAGCCTCCGCGCCCACCGGACCGCGTGGAAGCCGGGCTCGGCGCGCCGCGTCAGAAAGTCGGCGCCGGCCCCGACGTCGAAGATGGCGGCCAAGTGCGAGGCCTCCCTCCCCGCCAGCCGGCCAGCCCTTCTCGCGGGCAGCCCCCGGGGGCCTCTGGAGGCTTGGCTTGCCGGAAACCCTCGCAGGACTGCAATCCAGGACATTTTTCAAGTTCACCGCCTTCCAGGCTAGTTCATGGGACGATGGGCCATGGGGGAGCTTCCTCCTCCGTGTACCGCCCCTCCCGGCCCGGTTTCTGGAGGCGCGCGCTCTCCCACCGCTGGCCGAGCACCCAGAGAGCTCTCACACACCCTCAGCCCTCAGCCCTGGAGCCCCAGAGCCACTCTTCCTAGCTAGCGACTCAGCACCCCTCCTTTTACTCCAGGGCTACCGCCTTGTGTTAGACCTTCCCCAGAACCAGGATGAACCCAAATTAGTCCCCCTAAGTGGACATCCTCCCACTGTGCAGGAGTCATTCTCCCAAATGCAAATCGCATCTTACCGAGCACCCAAAAGGGTAGGGGTTCCCTGTAACTTTTTTAGGGCAGCCTTAGTTTAGAGTCCATGCTTGCAATTGAATTTCATTGTAATTCTGAGTTCTGCCAATAACAAGAATGAGCTTGGAAGAGAAGCCCCAGCTTTCGATGGTACGCAGGGCCGTGTTTGGGTTCAGCCAAGGTATTCAGAGAAATGGTGTTAAGAGGAAACTGGCATTTAGATGTCACGAGGTGGGCTTCGAGGAGTGCTCGTTGCTTCTGAATTAGCCCCTATTTCTGAGATTTTTCGTGAAAGACTTCAAGGTAAAATGGAAGGAGACAGCAGAAGGGAATCCCCTCGTGTGGGTGGGCCTCATCCAGTCAGTTGAGGCCTGAGTAGAAGAAAAAAGTTAAGGGCGATCCCAAGATGGCTATCTGTACCAGGTCTAGAGGAGAGTCAGTCAAGAGGTTTCCCAGGGGCTCAGAAGAACCTTGAAGAGCTGAGTTTAGGAAGATTAAATCTGTGCAGTTTTCAATCATGACCAGACTGAAAATATGCCTCAGGGTTAAATTAGTGATAACTACTTAGAAAATAATGTCACCAAAAAGGACACATTGACCATAGTCTTTTATACAAATTGTATTTCAGAGCAAGCCAGTAGTTAATTAAGGAAGTTCATCCTTTCATGTTACCTAGAATTTTAGCTACTAAGTGCAGAAGGAATATTTGCTTTTAAAAATGACCACTTTAACATCTGATGAGGTCATTGACATAGGCAGTAATTACTAATGACTGCTAAATGTGTTAGGTGTAAGGTAGTATGATAGGCAACTTCATGTGTGAACTTGATGTGCCCAGATATCTGGCTGAGCATTATTCTGGGTGTGTGTGAGAGTGTTCCTGGGTGAGAGTAACATTTGAATCAATAGACTGGGAGTAAAGCAAATTGCTCTCCCTCATGTTGGTGGGCCTCATCCTCAATCAGTTGAAGGCCTGAGTAGAAGAAAAAGGTGACTGACTCTTCTGCAAGTACCAGGAACAACTCCTACTTAACTGCCTTCAGCTGAGACACTGGTCTTTTCCTGCTATCACACTTGAACTGAAATCCTGACTCGTGGGTCCCCAGCTTGCCTTTCAAACTGGAACCTATGTTAGCATTCCTAGTTCTCAGGCCTTTGGATTCAGACTAGACCTGCACCATCAACTCTCCTGGGTCTCCAGCCTGCTCAGTCTCAATTATCATGTGAGCCAATTCTTTATTATCTCTGTCTGTCTGTCCGTCTGAACTGTTGTTTTTTTCCCTGACTAGTGTGGTAGGAAAGGAAATTTTATAGTGGAGAGATCAAGACACCACCTGCATTCTCTCAACAATCTACCTTCTTTAAAAACGGGGCGTCAGATATCATGCACTTTAAGATGTGATATAATAAATACTCAGCACTAATTATCTTAGTTTGGATTGTTCCAGAGGCAGGCATGGAAAGAAAGATTCACATAGAGTCAGTTGGCAGGTAATCTGTGTGTGGATTGGGGAGGTGGTAAAGGAAGAAAATCAATAAAGAGCATGATATCAAGTGGCTACTGTGTGCAATTGCAACTTAATCCCACCCAGATCTCTTGAGAAATGGTGTTGAATATGTGCTCCAAGGGCTGTTTATCTGGTAGATGAGAGCTATTCAGTCATCCTATTCAAGGACTACTCCCAGGGAGTGTATTTTTAGCCTGCAGGATGCACAGGTACTGGCAGTAACAGGGAACTAAGGAAGCTTGGCAGTGTTAAGTGCTTTACCGTGGTAATACTGGTGCATCAATCTCAGCAGGTTGTCTGCGCTGACCAGAGTTAGAAAGATTACCCATAAGCCACAGGTAAATGGTCTCCAGAATCTCAGCCACTCTCCAGACTCCCAATTTTGAAATCCTCACCCACTGAGACACTGAGTGATGATTTGGCAGCAGGCAGGAATATTTCATTTTTATCTGGAAGGAATCCTGCGATTCAAGGAAATCCCTTTCTCCTACCCATCTCAAGCCTCTGGGTCTTGCCAGAGATTTCTTAGTCTGTGAGAAAATACCCCCTCTGCTCAAAGCAGCTCCATGTTCTCAACAGTTAGCATAGGTGAAGATAGGCGAAGCGAGAAAACCATATATCCTCCACCAGAGGGATTTGATTTAATGAAGAAGAAAGAGGAATAAGACTAAATGATTCCCTGAAATATCACGTATCAATTTCATCTGAAGCATTGTCTTCTTGTTGACTTTATTTTTTTTTCCCCTTGGGAAAAGGGCCCCCAAACAGTGAATTTCATAAAACCAATTACTAAAAACTATATTTTAAAATTTTGGCTTGTCCATAATTCAAAGAAAAAAAATTTTTTAAAGATTTATTTATTTATTTATACAAGCACTGGGTACAGTCAGAAGTGTGGGAGTGTGAGAGAATTCACCAGAGCCAGAGCGGGGACCAGAACAGGCAGACCGACGAAATACACTGCTGAGGGGAGCAGCGGGCGGCAGGAGAGGTCTGCACGCCATGTGGGACCCTCACAGGCGGCCGGGGATTGAACCAGCGCTGCAGAGGCTGCAGGCAGCCTCGCAACCCAGGGCTCAACCGCTGCACCCCTGTGGAGGCCCAATTCAAAGAAAATCTTGACAGTTAATGGAAATAACTTCTAGAATTCCATATTTTCTACTTATTACATGACCTCAGGTAAATCTTATAACTTCTGGGGATGGAGAAGAAATTGGATAAAAGATTCTTCCACTTGTTATTTATGCTAGATTTTTAATTTACATGTCATTGTCACCAAGCAAATGGGCTCGCTACCCAATGTCCACAGAGACTGATACCACATCAGGTTTTGAGAAAAGAAACTTTATTCCAAATCAGTTGACAAGGAAGTAGAAAATCAACTGGAATCTACCTCCTAATTAAGAAAAGGAATGAGATTATATAGTTTTGGGAAACTAGGTCGAGAACAAAGGAGTTAAATTTTATTGACTAAAAAATGGGTTGAGGCAAAGGAATGTGGATGTGCCTCAAGTTCATTGGTTCATTACAGGCAACTCATACATAAGTCTGCATTTCTGTTGCGTTCCTTGGTCTCTAGGTAGCCCCTGGAGACTAGAATGGCCTCTAGGTAGCCCCTAGAATGAGTTTGCATTCCCTGGTCTCTAGGTAGCCACTCTCTTCTCAAATCATCTGCCCTAAAACTAAACTAGTTCACTTGCTAAGCCTCCAGGCTCTACTGTGTCTATAAAAGCAAATTGCAGAGAAAAGTTTAGATACGTCTCTCTTTTGTACTCTGAGAGTCTGAGAGTTTAGCCTCAGTTGCATCATTTATACCTGGAAATGATCATTAACACAACCTTCAAATTGTCTTTAAGTGTCTGCTGTATGTAAAATATTGTCTTAATGATTTCTATGTGAAAGTGGCTGAGTGGTAAATAACAGGTTGCAGCACCAGACACAGCATATATTCTCTTCCCTAGCGTATTTCAGCATAGTGCTTATGAGACTTATCCATGTTGTGTCTACCAGCAGTTCATTTTCTTGAGGATTAGCATTGTATTGTATACCATGTCACTAGTAAATTAACTTTTAAGTTGAGCACAGAGTGCTGGATGATGAGTTGTTGATGAAAAACAGATCACAGGAGAAAGAGATGCCAGCAATTTTGTTGCTCACGGGTCCTGGATGAAGTGTATGACACACAGTCAGGGATCCTGTTGAGAGGTCGAGGCAGAGGCAGGATCTATGGCCCAGGCCCCAGGTCCTAGTATTGGGGTACAGTGCTTTGGGCTAAACCTGGATTGGTTCATTCAAAACAAAACACTATGGTATTACTAAGCTCGTCGGAGGTCTTATCTAAGGCGCACACTGAGGCCCTGTGAGGCTGGGACACTGTAGAACACCTGGGAGGTTGGGGAGCCATCTCAGGAGCTTAGATTTGCTTGTGACTCTGGGCTGTTGTCCAGGAAGGCGCCCATACAGGGGGCTGTTGGCGGGGTCAGACCTCACAAGCTGCATGTGCAGATCCAATGGATGCCTCAGTAGGAACACCATGGAGTGGCTTAGCAAACTCTCAATGGACGGGTGTACCATGAATTTTTTGTTCATCAGCTGATGGGTATTTGGTTAATTTCTGTTTTGGGCTATTGCAAGTAAACAACCATATACAAACAACCATACACAAGCCTTTGTGTGGATGTTTTTTTTTTCCTTTTCCCCGGACAAATTCTTAGGACAGGAATGGATGAGTCATATTGTAGGTATATGTTTAATATATTTTTTTTTACCTGCCAAGATCCTTTTCCAAAGGGATTGTACAATTTTACATTCCTGCTAGCGTGTTGCTCTCTTCAATGTTGGCTGTTGCAGTGGCGTGCAGTGGTATCTCACTGTGGTTTTCATTTGCACTTCCCCAGTGACTGAAGATGTTGATCATCTCCTCATGGCTTAGCAGCTGTCTGTGTATCTCCTTGGTCAAAAGTCTGATCAGATCCCTTGTCCATTTTCTTTTTTTTTTTTTATTTGTACAAGAACCGGGGTACAGGTCAGAGATGTGGGGGGTGAGAGGATTCACCAGAGACAGAGCGGGGAACAGAACAGGCAGAGCTACTGAAATACACTGCCGAGGGGAGCAGCGGGCGAGTCAGGAGAGGTCTGCCGTGCCATGTGGGTATCTTCCTTAGCCGGCCAGGATCGAACCCACACTGCAGAGGCTGCGGACAGCTTCCCAGCACCGTGCTCAACCCGCTGCGCCACCTGGAGGCCCCCCCTTGTCCATTTTCTAACTGCGTTGTTTCTTGTCCCATTACTGAACTGTAGACTGCATATATCTTCTGTCTCAGATAGTTTATTTTTCACCTGTACAAGTTCAGCTTCGGTCTTCTTTTTTTTTTTAACCCATTTTTCATGTTAGCACAAGCAGTTTGTAGCACAAGCAGTTTGTCCCCTAACTCTCCGATTTATGGGTAATGGAGCTCATTCTTTTATCTGTGTACATTGCTTTGTAGTGATTGACTTTTTTGCACTAAGGGTCACATCATCTTTTCCTCCTCACCCTCCTTCTTAGCAGACCGCTGATGCTGTGAATTTTACCTTCTTGAGTGCTGCATATTTGTGTATTCCTGCAAATATCCTTAGCATTATTCTGGGTCACAGTTAAATGACCTGGACACAGATCGATCCTCTCAGGGCTTGTTTTCAGCATCCCTGGGTAGTGCCAGAGCACCCTTCAGCCTCTGACTGATTGTGCCCCACCACTCAGAATGGCGTTTCAGGGACTTTGCCCACGTCAGAGTTTTCCACTCTGGCTGTGAGAAATTAGTCCATTTCTGCTGGGTGGGAGCTCCGGGCATTTCCCCTCTACTCCTTCTGGGTCTCTTTCTCTTTCCTGTGGTGGTTTCCATCCTTTGCTCAGGTAACCTTCCTGCCATGTTGGAAACTCTCTCTGCAGTAATGGCTCCTCTCTTGCACTCCACTCTGTCTCTAGACTCCTAGCCTCATGTCCTAATTCAGGGGTGCCTGGGTCACTGTCCGGTTCCCCTTCCCTGCACTGCAGCCTGGACATTCCAGGTGGAAAGCAGAGGCAGCGAGAGAGCGTCCTTGTTTGTCTCCCCATCTCTCAGGTACCACTGTCCCATGCCGCTTGGTATGCAAGGTCAGAAAACCAGTGTGGGGTGCGTGATCATGTCAAGTTGTTAGAGGTGTGAGAGGACATCCAGTCTCTGATACTTCATCTGCCAAAAGTGGGAGCTGCTTTTTAAATTGGATTACACTTATAGCAATAACTTCTTTGCCTTTTTGTTCATTTGTTTTATTATTTAAATGTTTATCTCTAGATGTCTGTCCCTCAACTTAGTTTTGCCAATGTTGGAAGTATGACATCTCTTTAAGATTATTTTAATCTGCATGTTTGCTTTTCATCCTTTTCATTTCCATGAAGTACCAATAAGAGAAGTGGGGGGCTTACACAAGAATATTTGGAAATGGATGAAATCTGTAAAACTAAAGGCAGAAGGAACTACACATACACACTGTACTCCAGTTGATAAAATCTTCCCCCATGGGGGTACAGTTAACAGCTCTGATACTGTCATACATATGAAATGCAATCGAACAGTTAGATGATGATGACACAAAAGGTGAGCTAAATTTCTTGCTGCTTGAGTGGGATTCAGATAAACAAGGGGTGAGGCCTAGAGGAGAAGCTAGCATGGCCAATATAGTGATGGAATAGAATTGGAGACATTAGTAAAGGCTCATGTTTAGCTTTATATAAATACATGTAGAAATATTTACATCTGGAAAGAATCACCTGCACATAGTGATTACAGAGAGAAATGTTACATATAGAATTACTACATATAGAAATATTTACTGATAGTGCATATACATGTATATTTCTTTGCTGTCAGCTGAGAGGGCTCAAAAAAACAAGGCCCAGGCCTCCCTGGTGGCACAAGAAGTTAAGCAATCCGTAGCCTCTGCAGCACGAGTTCCATCCCCGGCCGGCCAGGGAGCAGCCCACATGGCGCAGCAGTCCTCTCCTGTCTCTCCTGCTGCTCCCCTCAGCAGTGTATTTCAGTCCGTCTGCCTGTTCTGTTCCCCGCTGTGGCTCTGGTGAATCCTCTCACCTCTCTCATCTCTGGCCTGTGCCCCAGCTCTTTTGTGCATAAATAAATCTTAAAAAAAACCAAAAAAACAAGACCCCAGTAGCAATGAGTATACCCACATCTTGGTTTCTAACACCATTTCCAATGAAAGGAACCAGGGTTCCTTGTACAAATGACTGAGTCTAGTACTAGCGAAGACATACACAAGGTGAATGTGGAACTTCTTAATGTCAGAAAGTAAGGTAGTACAGAAAGGAAAAACAAAATGAAAAGCAAAAAACCACATTTGTGCAGGTTGTCAAAGAAACCAGAGCGCTCCTAGGGCCAAAGCTGGAACATTTGAGCAACAAAACAAAGTAGTATTGAATTATTATTTCATGTAAATACCTGTGAGTTCATATTAATATAAATAAATAAGTGGGGAGAAGAGATGAATCTCCCATGCAGAAGAATTCCAAACAGTATTTGTGGACACTAGACTCTCCCGGAGAGGGAGTATAAATCTCCACTCTTTATTTTTTTATTTTTTTAAATATTTATTTATTTATTTATACAAGCACTGGGTACAGTCAGAAGCGCGGGAGGGTGAGAGAATTCACCAGAGCCAGAGCGGGGAGCAGAGCAGGCAGAAGGACCGAAGTACACTGCTGAGGGGAGCAGCGGGTGGCAGGGGAGGTCTGCGCGCCATGTGGGACCCTCCTCAGGTGGCCGGGGAGCAGCCGGGGATTGAACCGGCGCTGCAGAGGCTGCGGGCAGCTTCGCAACCCAGCGCTCAACCGCTGCGCCACCAGGGAGGCCCAAATCTCCACTCTTTAAATATGCACCCCCTCCTTGCAATTGTGCATTACGGAAATGGAGAGAAAAAAGAGTAGCTTTACCATGAGGGAAGTGTAAGGAAACTTGGCAAACACTACCTCTGCCAGCTCATCTAGGGCAGCATGGACAGTGATCACTCATGTGGATGGTATGTGGTCTTGATGTGATGTGATCAAAAGGAAACTTTATCTTGGTGATCTGCCACCAGAAGCCCCTCACCCTAAGCAAACCCCAAGGAGAACATCAGGTTCCAATAGAGGGATAACCCACAGGATGCCTGACCAATAATCCTTAAAATTATCAAGGTTGGGGGCTCCCCTGGTGGCCTAGGGGTTTCATTTCCATGCTGTTACCACTAAGGCCTGAGTTGGATTAAATAAATAAGCTCCCTGGGCCAGGGAGCTGACCCACATGGCGCAGCAGACCTCTCCTGTCTCCCCACTGCTCCCCTCAGCAGTGTGTTTCACTGAGTACATCTGCCTGTTCTGCTCCCGGCTCTGTCTCTGGTAAATCCTCTCACCCCCTGCACCTCTTGCCTACACCCCACTTCTATGCAAAAAAAAAAAACAAAAACAAAAACAAAAAAACCTGTCAAGGTCATCAAACACAAGGAAAGGCAGCCAACAGGTGCCTCAGGGAACATACCAAGTAAATGCACTCTGATATCCTGCATGGGACCCTGGAGCAGAAAAAGGAATTAGGTGAAAACAAAGGAAGTCTAAATAAACCGTGGACTGTAGTTAATATTGATGTATTAGTATTTATTATTTATAACTAATTCATTATGTTAGTAATAACATAATGGTTCATGCTGTACCATAAGCTTAATTTTTCTTACTAAAAAAGTTCTTGTGTTTTTTTTTTTTTTTTAAACAAAAGGGCTCCTGACACCCTGAAGCAAACATATTCCTGTCTTGTGCTAAACCCCCCAGCTCAGCATCCACTGAGCCTGCCCGGGCACACCAGGCAGATTCTGTGTACTCTGTATGTCTCGGTGCTCTCTTGTCAGAATCACAGACGCACCCTGTGATGGGCTTGGTGTCCAGATGTCAATATTCTGTCTCTTCTCACTGACATTCTCGACCTGGCATTTCTGTGGACTTAAATTGAATTTTCTGGCTGCTGTTCCGCTCGCCTCCCTTTCCCTTCCGAATATCTTGCGGCGTGGTTGCTCTGGATTTCACTGGCGGAGATGCAGGGCATGACGGGTCGTGTAGCTTGCTGATTGCGGATACCGGGGTACTCTCTCCTAGCCTCACAACCTCATTTAAATAGTTTCTGTATATTAATTTTCACCTGGCTGTGTACTGGATGTATGCATTACCCCAAATTTCCTATGTCGAATCCTCACCACAAAAAGTAATAGTGTTAGGAGATGGGGCCTTTGAGAGGTGATTAGGTCATGGGGGTGAAACCTATATGAGTGGGAATGGTATCATAGTAAAGAAGACCCTTCTACCATGGCAGGACACAGCTAGAAGGTTCTGGTTATGAACTGGGAGAGGGCCATCACCAGAAATCAGCCATGCTAGCACCCTGACCTTGGACTTCCAGCCTCCAAAACTGTGAGAAATAAGTGTCTGCTTATTATGAGACACGCAGTCTTGGATAGTGTGTGCGACTATTGTGGAATGAACCCCATGGCTAGGGGCAGGCATGGCTTGTGGATATTCTGAGTAGGCCAGAATGAGCCATCAGGCAGTTGGCCAGCAGTGGCAGAGAAGGGGATGTTATCCCTGTACATGGCACAGGGAAAGAAGAGATGGGTGATTCCAAGGAGAATTCATTTGCAGCATACAGAAGAATGCATGCTTGGCAAGCAACATGTTCATATCCACCTGCTTAGTTTCTTTCTTTCCAAGATAGAAACAAGGTGGATGAAGGGTTCCACTACCCATCCTTCATAGTTACTTGAATTCTAAGAAGGGAGAGTTTTGTCCAATGAAAATAAAATAGATTCAAGAAAAGTTTAAGGACTATTGAGATGATAACTGGGTCCAGAGAAATGTACCATCAGAGCAGGGGATCACAACCCAGGCCAGTCCCAAGGTGTGTTCCACCAGGGTCAGAGCACAGGGGAGTTTTTAAAAGGTCATGCGGGCCAGTGGTCTAACCCCAGGCAGTTTGTTGTAACTTTTTGGTCTGATCCTTAAGTCCATTTCTTTGTCTGTGATTGCCTGACAGAACTCCAGACAGAAGGCTGCAGAGTGGGGCTGTTGTGACGCTCAGCAGATATCTCCTGTCCCTTTCATGGCCACCAGTTGCTGCCTCAGCAGTTCACCCAGAAATTTCCACAGGGGACTCGAGACGAGGCAGTCTGATGCAAAGCAGGAGCCACACATCTAAAAATTCCTCAGAAGTTGTAAATAGGTAATATTTAAAATTTTTTTTAAATTCCACATCTAGTCCATGTCAGTGACCAGTTGACTTTGAGGGTCAGTCACTTGACCCTCAACCTTCTCCTCATGGTCTTTATTCTCCCCAAAAGATCCTGAGTGCTTGCACTTTTCTTGTTGCATGGCCTGCTCTTACCTACACGAGTCAGCGCGCTCTCTCTCTCTTTCCGCCTCCTCCCTCCCACACCCCTTTGGGAACCTCCTCCTCCTTTCCTTAACGGAGAACCTGTTCAGTTACCTCAAGAAATTCTCTCTTGGTGTCCAGCTTCATTTCAGAGAGGTAAGATCTTCACTACATTTTGACATAATTTGTCCAGAGTGTGCTAATTTCGTGGAGCCAGTTCTGTAGGAGAACACTAGAGGGCAGCATTCCTAGACCGCTGTTTCCCTAAGACCAGTTTTCTCAAGACAAATGCTCAGACTGAAATGCTACTGTGGTTCTTTAATTTCTTAAGCTTTTCCCCTCCCCCGCCAAAAAAAATTAGGTGCACTTTTGGACAGATCCATAAAGAAATCCTTTAGTGGCTCTTTTTTTTTTTTAAAGATTTATTTATTTATTTCTACAAGAACCCCGGTACAGGCCAGATGCTCGGGAGGGTGAGAGAGAGGATTCACCAGAGACAGAGTGGCAACAGAACAGGCAGACTGACTGAAATACACTGCTGAGGGGAGCAGCGGGCGATACATTCTTGAAAACAAAGTTTTCCTTTTTATAACTTGCATGATCACTGGTCATTTACCTTTAAAACGTTTTTCTTTAAAATAGAATATTAGTTGTGTCTGTTTATTAACTACATTATGTTCCATTTATGGTATTTAAAATATGGTTAGTTTGTGTTTGCTTCGGCAGCACATATAATAAAATATGTTTGTTTTTTTTTTAAGTAGATTTTTTTTTTTAATAGAGGCATGTTTTATTTATTTGTTTGTTTTGTTTGTTTTTGTTTATACATGCACTGGGTACAGTCAGAAGCGCAATCGCGGGAGGGTGAGAGAATTCACCAGAGCCAGAGCGGGGAGCAGAGCAGGCAGAAGGACCGAAGTACACTGCTGAGGGGAGCAGCAGGCGGCAGGAGAGGTCTGCGCGCCATGTGGGACCCTCTGGTGGCCGGGGAGCAGCCGGGGATCGAACCGGCGCTGCAGAGGCTCAGGCAGCTTCGCAACCCAGCGCTCAACCACTGCACCACCGGGGAGGTCCAAAATATGTTTTCTTTGAAATAAGTAATTGTTTTCATTTAATCTCACGGAGATCCAGAAATTATATTTTATGTATGTGACAGAAGGATACATACATATTTTTTCTTTCTTGTCTTCCTTATGGGGGTTTCAACTCAGGGGCCAGAAAATAATAGTTGAGAATTTTATGAGAGTGAGAATTAGAAAGAGCGAAGGTACATTTTCTTTGATGAAGGAATTATATATATCTTATTTTTCATATGCGCTTATCAATTTCATAGGAAATTAAAATTTAGCTGGAAGTTCATTTCTGCTAAATTGTAAAATTTTTAAATAGAAATGTATTCTATTGTACGTAAAACAAAGAACTTTTAATACATAGATCAGTTGTGACGCTAAGATAAAAATGAACAAATAATATGAAAAATAAACTAAAAAGGCATTTTAAAAAGTCAGTTAACACATGAACAAGACTAAGAAATCACTAGAACTGAAAAAAGGGAAAAAAATTTTTTGCTAAAAGCAATGTTGGGTTTTTTCCTGTCCCTTATACTGAATTTAGGAACAGCTTGAGATCAAATCACAGCTCAGAAATATATGTTATCTTGGTAAATTTTTTTAGCTCTCTCTATTATAGTTACCTAATATGTACAATGGAGTTAATCAGCAAAATGAGGATTAAATGTGGTAATACAAACAAATTCTTAAAATAGCACCTGGTTGGGCATTTTGAACTAAGTAACATATAGTACTAAATTTGTTTAAAAAGAACACCTAGCACATAGGTGATTATCTAATATATGCAGCAGCTATGTTTGGCAGTATATAAATATTACCTAGTATAACTATTATAAATTTACCCATAGGTGGTAGGTTAGGTATAGAATAGTTCCAGAAATAAGCAATGAGATTTTAAAAATTACAATGGAATTAGACAGTGGAAGTGAGGAGGAGCAATTCAAACAAAACCCATGGGAATAATGTGATCTGGAAATGTGCTTTTTAATTAGAAATATTTTTAATCAATAAGCAGCTTAAATATAGAGGAATAAATGCAGATATAATAAAAAAATAATCATAAACATAAATGAACCAAACTTGCCAGTGCAATGATTGACTGTGCAATTATATTTTAAAATCCAGTTTAAGACACTGTAGAAGAGAGGGACATAAAAAGGTTGAAAGTAAAAGTAAGTGAAAAAAAATGTACTTGGCAGAGACCAACCAGAACATAGCTTGCTGGCATAGTAGCATTGATTCAGGTTTTGTGACCAAAATACAAAGGCAGAAAACTCAAAACACTCCATTTCTGTCAAGAAGCTACAATTTTAATTTTTTTTTTTGCATCTGATAAGGGAGGCTTAAAGATAAAAAGCAGTGAGTGAGAATTATATGAAAAAATGAACAAATCTACCTTATAATGGAAGATTTCAGTATCCATTCAACTCATTTCATTCAGTAAGTATTTCTGAGTGTCTGCATGCTAGGAGCTCTTATCAGTAGTAATACAGCAGTGAATGAAACATTCTCGGCCTTTCAAAGCTTACATTATAATTGAAGGAAAAAGAAAAATATACAAGTAAATACAGAAAAGCCCTGTAAAAATACTTCCAGGATATCATGAATTATGAGATCATAGAATGAATGATTCACTCCTAGCCTAGCAGGTGGAGAGGAAGGAGGATAAAATTCTTACTTTTGTGGTTGGGGAAGAAACAGGGCACAGGGTGAAGCAGAGAGCCTGTCTGAAAAATAGCACAAACCCCAGAGGGAAGGTGGAGTGTGCAGCCTGAAGATGACTGATGTGTCTGCTCGCTCTGTGATCGCCCAACTCAATATTCCCAAGCAGGGCCGACAAAACTGGCGCCAGCTAGTCAGGAATTTCCTGGAACCGTTGATGCTTTCCTGTAGACCATTGGGGTACACACCCTGATTGGTTCCCATCAGGATGTCAGCGAGTCGACAGTCACCACTAGATGGCGCCAAACTGTCGTGGGGACCAGGACAGAGTGGCTAGGGAAGCAACAGCCCCCAGACTGTGCAGATCCCTTACTCATTTTATTCATCTCACGCTGAAAGACAAGAAAAATAAATCAAAGACAAATTTTTGGAAAGGTAGACAAAGGAATTCATAGCTTCATAAAGCAAATGATTATATTTAAAAAACGGAAAAGCAATTTATTGGAAATATTAAGGTCTGAGCATAGAATCAATATGCAAAATTCAGTTGCATTTCTAGGAAATCTAACAAGTACTCAGTAAACATTTTGACACATAGAAAACATAATTTAAGAACGTATTCCACTTAAATGACTCAAAAATAAGATATCTAAAATTAAATCAAAGATATATAAGACCTTGCAGAAAAGGAAAAAAAAATGCATAAGGCATTATTAAAAGACACTCAGAAGACCTAAGTAAATGGAGAGATATGCTGTGTTCATGGAAAGGAAGGCTCAACCTTTTTTATTTCATGAATTCCTTCCAAATCGACCTACAGAGCTAATGTAATTCCCAATCCAAATATTAACAGAGGCTTAATGAAACACAGCAGCTGACTCTGGTGTTTATGTAGGAAAACAAGAATATCAAGGCACTGCCTAGCAAAAAGAGGAAACCACGCACTGAAACTAATGATGAAGTCACCATAATGACAGTGTTTTGACATAGGAAGAGCCAAATGATTAAAAGAACAAAAGGGAGAGCCCAGAAAGACCCAAGTACGTGTGGGCTCTTGATAACTGACAGGACGCCGTGCTGATCCGTGAGGGAAAGCAAACCAAAATTAATTAAATAGATGAGTTTCTCCTAACAATGTGTGTAAAGAAATGAGGAAGACGTTCCCCTTAGAATAGAATGTCTTGTAGAAGGAGAGAGGGAGGTGGGTCATCACCTTTTGGCAGCCTTCATGATAACAACTGATTCACACAGAACTGTCTGTTGGTGCCAAAACTATTTGTGTTTATATTTTAAGAACAAGATAGTTACAAGGTCTCAAAGTATCTCTCCACAATTTACTTATTAATTGGGGGGGGCACTTTTTGTGTGTGTGCTTTTAGAGTGGATAAACTTAAAAGACATATCACCGTAACGAAGAAATTTAATTGATATCCCCCCAAATGGAGTAAACTGATATTAGACGCTTTCCCAATTTTACATTGAAAAGCACACAACCACGCATATGTAATATTCCTGCCAAAACCCCATAATATAAATCTAATTGTGAAGTAACTTTCCTTGAAGAAAACCCACATTCTACAAAATAATTGGCCTGAACTGTTAAAAAATGTCAAGGTCAAGAAACAAAGCTAGATCAAGGAGGTGTTCCAGATTCAGGGAGACTGAAGAACCAATTAAATGTCATACATGATCTTGGATTAGATCCTGGGGAAGGGGAGGGGCAGATTAAGGGGTGGAGTAGGGTAGCTTATAAAGGATATTTTATTAGGGTAACTGGTGAAATTAGAAAATGAACTGTAGATTAGATATAGCAATGTATCAGTATTTAAATGTTCTGATTCTGGTATTTCAATAACCTTGTTTTAAAAAGATACGCGCTGGGCCTCCCTGGTGGCGCAAGGGGTTAAGCACCGCACTATGAAGCAATCCGCAGCCTCTGCAGCATGAGTTCAGTCCCCGGCCAGCCACAGAGCAACCCACATGGTGCAGCACACCTGTCCTGACTCGCCCGCTGTTCCCCTCAGCAGTGTATTTCAGTCAGTCTGCCTGTTCTGCTCCCCGCTCTGTCTCTGGTGAGTCCTCTCAGCCCCTGCATCTCTGGCCTTTACCCCAGCTCTT